CTATGTATAGCTTTTGTTATTATGGCCATTTTAATAATAATAATTCTGCTTACCCAAGAAGAGGGCATGTCTTTCCATTTTCTAATGTCCTCTTCAATGTCTTTTGTCAGAGTTCTACAGATTTTCTTTACCTCCTTGGTTAAATTAACTCCTAGGAATTTTATTTTTTCAAAGCTATCATGAATGGAACTTTTCCCCTGGCTTTTATTCTTGGTTGGGTTCATTATTGGTATACAAGAACACTATTGACATTTTTGTATTAATTTTTATTCTAACACTTTGCTGAGTTAATCAGCTCTAAGGGTTTTCTCGTGGAGTTCTTTGGGTCTTTTATGTAAGGGATCGTGTCATCTGCAAATAAAGATAATTTGATTTTTTTCTCCTTTTTTATGCATATCCATTTCATTATTTCTCTTGCCTGATTGTTCTGGTTAATGTTTCAAAAACTATATTGAACAAGAGTAGTGACAGAGAATACTGTTGTCTTATTCCTGATTTTACTAAGAATGCTTTCAGTTTTCTCCATTCAGTATAATGTTGGCTGTGGATTTGTCATATATGGCTTTTATCACTTTGAGGTAAGACCCTTCTATACCTATTTTCATCAGCATTTCTTTTTATCATGAAGAGAAGTTGGATTTTGGACTTGCTTTGGTTCCATCCCTATTTGCACCTTTTGGAGTGGGTATGTTTACCTTGTGCCATTGTATAATGGAAGTGTTTGACTTTTTCATCTTTACAGGGGCTTGAAGCTAAGAGTATGTCTTCAATCTCAGAGGAGAACTTGGATTTTAGTTTTTTCAGCAATGCTTAAAGTATTAGAACTTTGGCAACTCTTAGAGATGGACTAAATGACTTCTGCATAAAGGGATGTGCATGAATCTTTTGGGGGCCAGGTGCAGAATGTTCTGACTTGTATTTAGATGCCCTCTCAAAGCCTCAGGCATCCATAAGTGGGGCTTTTTGGAACTGGCTGGATCTAGGATGTGTGTTACTAAATTAGTCTACTGATTGGCTTAGCATAGTTCTGGGTGTAGATAATGGGAAGCCTCACCTTGGGGGTGGGTGGCACCACACAAAAGGCTTGTATCCTGGATGGGATAAAAAGAGAAAGGAGGCTTGCTGCTGTGGCTTCAGCTGCTTTACTGCCTGCCCTGCCATAGACTGTTTCTCCTCTGCCATACCATCCTACCTTGGAGCCAGTCAACTATAGACTGAAACCTTTACAAACTGTGAGCTAGAATAAACTTTTCCTCCTTTAACTTTGGATGTTGGATATTCTGACTCAGTGATGCAAAAAAGTAACTAAGATACCTTTTATGGGGCAAGTTTTAGGACTGTACCTCTTTTCTTCATCTTGCAAAGCCAGACCAGGTGCTGAAAGACTGCCATTTAATTTTCCTAAGGGCAACACCCTTCAGTTCAAGGTTCTAGGACTTTTCCAAAATCAGCAAATATGAGCTGGCTGCTAAGATCCACTCCTGCATTTTAGATCCATGTCTGTCTGTGAAACTCGCTGGCCAAATACAGGGTGGCTAAGGGGCGGATGCAGGTGGTTGGGCGCAAGCACCCACTGCCTAGGGATGTATACAGCTGAATCATTCTGTGGGCTCTACAAGTGGGTCTCTTGGAATTTTCTCTCCAGTTAGCAGGTCCTGCACTTGGATGCTGAGAATGCATGCTTCTTGCTGTGCCCTTTCCCTTTCTACCTGTTTCTATTTGCACCCAGGTGATTTCTGGGAAAACCAGGTGCTTCCTTTGCTCTCATTTTTCTCTGTGGGAAAAAAAGATCATTGGCTAAAGGCAACTTTTGGTAGCTGAGTTGTGCTCGCTGAAAGAGGGTGATCAAAACTGCTCTGCTCAGGCAACCACTCTTGATGCACGCTTTGCTGTACCAAAGTGGGGAACCTCTCACCAAGACTCTGGGGCAGCCTACAGAATATCCTCATCTGTAAGTGAAGCCGAAACTGGCGCTTTATGGGAGACAGGGGCTGGAGCCTCCCACTCTGCCATCCTATTCACATCACTCTCCTATTTATCCCTCTTGGATCTGTTGGGTCTCAAGAGTCTGGAGCCTGGTGTGCTTCATCAGTTCCGAAAAATACCTTAGCCATTATTTCTTAAAATACTGCTGCTACCTTATTGTCTATCCATCCGTAATAAGACCATATTGGACTTTCATGTTTCTTGTTTCTCATACTTTTGTTTGTCTGAGTTTTACTGTATATCATTTTTCCCATCTTCCAATTCATTATTTCTTTCTTTTACTTTGTTTAACCTGCTATTGAATCTGTTCTGTGCATTTTGAATTTGTATTATTTTTTATTTTTGTAAGTTACCTTAGGTTTTTCTTAAAACATCTTGGTTAGTTTATTCTGACATAGTTAATTTCAAGTTTGTTTTTCTTTAAATTCAATACAACATTCACTTTTGTTTTGTGGTGCTGGGGATTGAACTCAGGGCCTCATGCAAGCTAGCTAAGCACTCTAATACTGAGCTACATTCATTTTATGACCTCAATCATGTAACTTTAGTACTCTATGGTATCTTTCTGCATCCTTTTCACTCATGTTGCTGTCTACCTGGTTAATCATTTTGGAGACTGCAGTTCTAGGATGAAGATATATTCTCCCAAAAGACTTAGTATTTACTCCTGCTTAATATCTATAGATATTTGAAGCAAGCACAATTTATACTCAAATACAGTTTAAGATTTATCAGGCTACTAAGAAATGTGAACTGGGGTTTCAAAACAGCTTGTGGTTACCAGTTCCTTGAGATAATCCTCCACTGCCCTAATACTGAGCCCGTGCACCTTTTTTACTTGCTCATTTCTGAAGATGGTAGTGCTGGCAGATGGTTTGCTTTTGCTTCATTCTTCTAGTCAAGATGTAATACATACTAAAGGAGGATCTGCTATTAAAGTATCTGATTTTCCCAGGTTGTTTTTCATTTCAGGGGGCTGAAAAGTACCTCTTACATAATCTCAGTTGGGCAAATCTTAAGAACAAAAAGTTTTGGGCTCAACAAACAGATTAATAGCTCTACCATTAAGCAGCTGTAATTATAAATAAGCAAGTCAACTTCTCTGGGTTCTGCTATCCAGAAACCTAGAAGTTATATCAGCTCTCTATGTTGCCTTTCACATAGAATTAAACAGTTCTGAAACATTCTATCTCCTACACTTCCTTCAAATGTGTCTCTTTCATTTCTAACTCAAGGGCTAAATGCTTTGGTTCAAAAACTAACCCCTTACCTCAGCTGTTACAACTTTATTGAAGGTACTAACTTTGCCTTGGGCTCCCTCCCTCTAAACTTCTTTTTCTGTATTTCTGAATTTCATTTCAGCGATATTCTTCTCAGAGCTTCCAGGACGAAGTTCAAATTTCTTGACTTTTTACACAAAGCACTTCATATGCTTGCCCTGTTTACATCGCGCATTTCACTTTTATGAGGTTTGCTGAAGCCTCTGTGGTTTCATTCGTGTTGCTTCTGCTGCTGGAAGAGGCTAATACTGTCTCTCTTGTCTCATGAACCTTTAACAGTTCTTTAGATACCAAGGCCAGTGCTGTTTTGCTCATAAATTCTTCTAGGATTTCTCTTGCCCTCTCTGATTTGGATGTTTCTCCTTAATCCTCTTATGTAATTTTAAATTTACACCCACATCAAACTAGAATGCATTTGTAACTTACAACTCTTTCCCATTAAGCCATAAACACTTTTTGTAGAGAAAGTCTTATTCAACTTTGCAACTCTATTCCGTGCAGAGCTTGCTGAATGAGCAAATGAACTATACTATCACATATAACGTGGGAGAGGCCTGATTACATTATTTCAAAAGTCCCTTGTTAAGATACAAGTTTTGCTGTATTGCACAAATCTTAATTTCGATCACCCAGTGACTCTATTTGGACTTTTATCTAAGAATCCATATTTCGTTGTCCAAATTCTCTGACCTGCATGCTTGACCTATTTCCCCAGATTTTCTTAGCCTTAGTTTTGATATCCTGTATAGATGACCTGCTTGAACCAGACTCTTGTTGGGCCGCCTCCCTTTGGATTGACTTCACACATGAGTCCTTACATGCTTTTCTTCAGTTTGCTGATGCCCTTGTGTTCCTGGTCCCTGGCCTCCCTAATTCATACTACCTGCCAGAGCCACACACTTAAAAAAATAATACTGATGCTTAAATCTTGCCAAAATAAACAATTTAAATAGTTTACTAGGAAAAGTAGAAAGGAGAAATTTTCTAAGCAGTTTCTTCATTTGACAAATGAAGAAGAATATTAAACAATGTTTCCTCCAAGAAGGGACAGTCAATAGCAGGTCTCCTTATTTTCACTGTTCCTTTCACTCTGTTATACTTTGAGTAAAAGCAAACATTTTACTTCAATAAAGTTTAAAGCAGCAGGAAGATCCACATTACTTGTAAGATCCCAACATATGTATATAAAGACTTACAATCACACTAAAAACACTCCCAATCTGTGTGTGGAATTTTTGCACAGTAAAACTGTACTGTAATAAAAATATTATTTGATTCTAATTAGATATAAAAATATTATTTGATTCTAATTAGATTCTTCACTTAGGGGGTCACAATATAAAATTGACAGTAGGTTCAGTTGCATCGACAATATGTGGAAAGCTGGTCAGAAAAATCTACTAAAATTCAATCTGTGGCACACACTGTACAAGTTTTATGACTGTGCTCTGTAATCTACTTTTTCTTTCTTTTTTTTTTTTTTTTTTTTTTTTTTTTTTTTTTTTTTTTGGTAACGGATTGAACTCGGGACCTTGTGCTTGCGAGGCAGGCGGTGGAACCACTGAGCTAAATCTCCAGCCTGTAATCTACTTTTTAATAAGTAGGACATATAAAATTAATATACAGTAAGTTTACTGTTAATTTCAACCTTCTCACTCAACTTTTATTTTCAGTTAATATATATTTTAAGAGGAAGAATCCAGGGAATAGAATACTATTGAAAATGAAACTTACCTTCATCTTCCCAGCAGTTTGCGGCACTCCCATCCCTTCCACTGCTCCCCGGTAACACTGTCTGGCCTGCTGGCAAGTCATCGTCTGGTGCACCGCCTTCACAGTCTGCTGCATCCGTAACACTCTCTTCTTCCACAATGTGGAGTTTGTCCTCATCATCTGAATCGGAATTTGTTTCTACCACAGTATTATAATTTGTAACTGCAATACAAACAAAAGTGAATAATCAAAACTAAGTAGTGCAAAACCAGTTGTTATCAAACAGAAAACAATTTACAAGTGGTACTTAAAACACTGGAATTCAATATTTTCCTTTAGACCATTATATATAAAAATAATTTGCCAAGACACACACAGCATTTATTAGGTAGTAGATAACCAAAACAATAAAAATAGTGATGCATTTATTGAACACTTACTGTATGTACAAATGCTTTATAAATGCTAGCTCATTAAGTCTGTACAACTTTATAGTAATAGAGTTCTACTATGTACTACTTGTATTACTATTTTACTGATACGAGAAACAAGGAAGAGAGAGCATCTTATCCAAGATCATACAGCTAGGAAGTTTCAGGGCCTGGATTTGAAACCCAATGGCACAATGACATATTCTGAGCTCTTAAGCTACTATATCAAACATGCTCTCTGATCACAATTAACTTACTGCATATAACACTCTTTATGTATAGCTAAAGCTTCAAATCTTTAAACTATTAACACTTAAGAGTCCATGTTTTCCTAATAGCATTATGTCACCAAATTTACCACAAAAAGTATTATATCATTAATGTCACATTAATACGCCTTTCATATTAATCCAAAACTGACTTAAGAAGGAATGAACCAATTTATCTGCATAATGAAAGCACTCAAGTAATGTTTTTAAGTTTGTAATTCTGAAAAAAAAAGACATTTAAACACTTCCAGATGGGAATCCATCCCATAACTGTTAATGAATTTCAATGAAATTTAACACCAGGATTATAAAGATGTATAATTATTCTGAATGATTTTTATCATTTATAGAACCTGCAAGCAATGGTTAAAAATAAAATTATCTAAAACAAATAATGCAGTATAAGTAACATTTTCCTTCCCAGTTCTTATAATAGTCGAACAGAATATATGCAGAGTGACTCTTATTTCCTAAGGTTAAGAAGGGAGAAAAAAAGAAGCTTTGCATTGTCCAGATAATTAAACAGTAAGTACTTTCAGTTAATCTTTCTTTTGCTCCTTCAAAGGAAACAATCACTTAAATGCTTCAATGCTATTTACACACATCCTTCTCCCTACACACACAGGTGCACGAGTGTTCACTCTGTCTCTCCATCTCTGTCTGTCTCTCTCATACAGGAATACGACCACAAGCATGGATAAACATGATAAACATGAAAAAGTGAAAACAAATAAGCAAACACATCTGCTTTTATACACCTTGGGAAGACATCCTTGATTCAAATGAGGACCTGAAGTGTTCGTATTAGGAATTCCTCACTATTCTGAGTAAAAAAAAGAATGACATTTTGTTGTGTTAACACTTAAACATGAATATATTTTTCTAGGTCTTTTCTCAGGAGCAAATGCTTTCTTCCTTTATTGTGTTCACTGTAAAATAAATTTGACTATAAAACATGCAGAGTAAAAAAGCATCCCTATTCTTCTTCAATCTACTCTAGAAGGTAATAAATGCAGGAGACAGGCATGATACGAATCATTATCATATACCTTATTCTATTTAACTATAATATAAACTTCACCTTATACATCTTATATTTGATACAAATCATTTTGCCCATTTACAAATCTGTGTATTTAAAAATATGTATAGAATCACAAAAACCTGTTTTGGCACCTTTTTTTTTGCCACTTTACAAGGTGTCTTGAAAACTATGCTGTCAATATACATAAAAAGCTGTCTTGTTTCCTTCCCTCTGAACAGTCACATCATTCCACTGTTAAGATATATTTTAAAATACTGAATAGTTTCTCTGGTGTGATTAATCTGCAATAATACAGAAGATCCTAATAAGATTACTGAGATTGAGAAATGGGAAGAAAGGAGCTAAAGGTGTAGGGAAGGTGGGACGGGTAGGGGAAGGGTAAAAAGGGAAAAGAAAAAAATGTGAGATAATGAAAAGATGGAAATAAAGTGGTTGTAGATGGGAAGGAGAGGAGGAGGGGTGAAGGGAGGGCAGGGACAAGGGGAAAAAATGAGAACCAAGACTTGTCATGTAGAGGTACAAGATCCCAACAATGAATGTAACTGTACTGTATCCCTAAAATGTACCAATAAACTCAAAGCTGAAAAAAAAGATATATTTTAACCAAACATCTAAAAAAGTTTATTTGTTTGTTTCTAAAGGTAAGCACCAACAGCAATGTTACAATAATTTTTAAAATAAATATATATCTTTGGCCATTCCCTGAAGTCATTTATCACGGAGATTATAGGGGTGGAATATAGAGTCAAAGGAAATCTTATTAAGTATATATTGTTAAACTGCTCTACAAACTGGTTCCACAAACACTACTTGAGAAGATCTGTTCAATATTGAATATAGTAAATAAAGACTCCTTTACTACAGTAAAGGTAAATAAGAATTAAGATGAAGACTTGGGCAATTCATTACACTCTGGGCAAACTATGAGCAGAGTATGTAGGAGTCGGGGGAAGACTTCAAAGGCTGGTCCTAGCTGCCTGCAGCGGTCTCCTGAGGGGTCTTTCCCTGACAGGAAGATGGAGACGTGCCCATGTGAACACGTGCACACATGCTTGAGACAGGGACTTTCACTGACAAGTGATGCACAGTGTCATAACTTTGTTTTTACTTTGAGGGTTCCTTACTGGCAACCTGCTAAGTGACTTATTAAAGTCATTTAAAATTGTCATTTATATGCTATGCACTAAAATCAGAATATGGCTAGTGTCTACCAAGGATCTAACAATTCTTGACTCCAGTAGGATCTGGCTACCACATAGTTTGCCTCACTGCAAAGCTTTCATTATGCTTGGAAATGGTGACAATGGGTACATGGATAGTTGAAATTCTTGCTGCTTTGTACCTGCATTTGCTAGTGCCAGGTGGTGCCAGGTATAGCAGCATCAACTGCACAAGGCGAATGTATGGGTGTAGTGACTTTCAAATGTACTGGGATCAGATTAGCATCTGGCACAGCCCAGAAGGCAGTGTGCTGCCGGCTGCCAACATCATCATCATCTTTAAGATACTCATAAATAAATACTCTTCATAAATCTAAGCCAGTAAATTTGAAAACTTGGATGAAAATTCTAAGAAAAATAAATGATTATAGTTTTACAGCACAGGCAGATAATGAAATAAATTTAGGAACTAATCAAATAGTTAACCCCCCAAAACTGCCAGATGTTTTCTCAGGTAAATTGCTTAAGAGTTCCAGAGGAAAGAAAACTCTGCTGCTTTTTAAAGAGACAGAAAAACCAAATAGTCTGATTCTTTCTGCAAAGACAGAATAACAGCAGTCAACTAAAATCTGAGGAACAGCACTTAGGCATGCGTGCATGCACACACACATGCACACACACACACGCATGACTGATGTAGTTTTAAGTAAAATATTAAATCCATTAATACATAAAGTAAGGAGAACATTAGGAAATATGTGAGAGCTCACTATATTAACATAGTAAAGGAGAAACAAAGACTTCTACAGGCACTGAGAGACATTTGGAAAAATAAAAATAATGTACCATTCTTTGATGATAAATACATTTTCATGAAAACAAAACTGAAATTAGTATCACTATAAATGCTTATGTATTAGAGGCATTTATAAGATAAAGATGCATACTCTTGTTACTATACAGTTATAAAAGAAAAAATTAAAAAAGTATAAATATTGGAGAGAAGGCAAAATTATTTGTAGTTGGCAAGGTAACATTTCTGGAATTTTTTTAAAACACTGAATAACAATTAGTAAATAAATCTGATGACTTTCCAATATACCAACAGTAATCAGCTTATAAAAATAGAAGAAATCCATTAACAACAGCCACACAATGGACAACACGCAAAGAAACTACGATACAAAGAAACCTTTGTAAAACAGTAGTACAAATTCAAAGCAATTCTGATCCAAATGTTAACAAGATTAGATCCTACATCTGAGTGATTTGGATTAAATGATTTTCAAGTTTATCTAGAGAAGGTAAGAGCTTATTTAGTCCCAGAATCTGACTGTGTGGCTCAAATCATAGCTTTGCTACTTTCTGGCCTTGTCACTTTAGGCATGTTGTTTATTCTTCTCATGTCTCAGTTTTCTTCCTCCTCTATGAGAAGGAAAAAATGGAAACAAAGTCGTTGTGAATAGGGGAGGGTGGCGGAGGTAAGGGAGGGCAGGGGTATGGGGGAAAAATAAGAATAAAGATCTGACGTGTAAAGGTACAAGATTCCAATGATGGATGTAACTGTGTTATATTCAAAAAGTACCAATAAACTCAATGAAAAAGATGGTGATATATGTCCCTAATATGGTTGTCATAACAATAAAACACTTAAGTACAGTATTGCTCATATGCGCTCAGTATATACTGTAATATTATTATCTGGGACAATAAACATACAGAAACTTCAGAAAAAAAGACTAATGGTGGTAGGGGGACATGGTTAGCCATAACACAAAGTAAAGTGTATCTTCAAGCTGTTAGAAATGGAAACAGGTTTGTACTTTCACAGACATACATGCAGACAATTAATGCATTTAGATACAATCTAAGAACAGATCTCCAAATGGAAGGCCATCAGTGAGAGAAAAAAATGCATTATTCAATTAAAAATCATTGTGGAAAAAATACACCCAGATCCCTACCCCTTACTACTTCCATCAAGATTAAACCCACACAAATAAAATATTTTAACGAAGTGCAACCATAAAAATGCTAGAAGAAAATATACTGTGTTTCTCCAAGAATAAGACCTAGTTGGAAAATCCTTTATTTCCCTTGCAGAATAGCCACCAAGCAAGACAATAGTGATGGTAGGTAAGGCGAGGAGTAGGTAAGGCAAAACAGTTTCAGTGTAGTATTTTGTCATGACTGAGAATGACTTTTGCACTGTTAAAGCCAAAGACAATTATTGATCCTCACCTCACCTGGATCTAGTAGTATTTGACATAATCCATTGCCTCGGTCCAGTTGCAACTAGAATTGTGGAAAGAATTAA